CTTCCTTTCTACCCCCTCTTTCCTTTCCTCCTTCAGTGTCCAGTGTCCTTTCATTAGGAAGGCACTGAAGAAAGGCAATTCATGACGAATGACTGGACCTGAACAAATATATGAGAAATCTGGGCTGAAGCCAGTGTAATTTCATCTTCATTCGTTTCTCAAAATGCCCCTCCTTCCTTCCCCGTGCAGATAGCCACCACTTGTTGGCGAAACTCGGCAGAGCGCATCCCTCAGGTCCCCACTTGCCGTCCCCCAGCTCTGTAGAGAAGGCTGGGAGGTGCCTTCTCAGGCCGCTTCTTGGAGACAGCCCGGCACACTGGCGCTCCAGCGCCCCCTGGTCCTTCTGCCTCCGAGGTCTCGGTCGTGTGCTCGCTGTATCCCAGGCTCTGGGCATCGCGGCTCCGGTTCGGAGACCTCCCTGTGCTTCCTTTCTCACAGCACAGTGATACCCCATGACATCTGTGGGATCCGTGTCTGCTTGGTTTTCTTTCTTTGCTACCACCAAGGAAAAGTGCATTCATAAAGATTTCATTGTGTGTACATGAGGACCGTGCCCTGACATCCTTGGGATAAGACACTGATTTTCAAGATCTCACGGAGGAAGTTGCCAAACAAATGAAAAATAAAATCACACCATCCCCCAGCCCACTCACTCACACCAATGCCTGAGGTGACACTGGGTAGCCTGAGCTTGTGACCACCCCAAGGACATTGGCTCCCTACTCTGACAGCCCTGAGGGCCGCCTCTCTCGTCCAGAAACACCTCTGCCTGTCTCAAGGGCCGGTTCTGCAGGAGCTGCTGTGCGGCCCGGGTGATTCCTGGAGCCCCACGCGCAGCCTGTGCGGTCCCCGCCAGGACCTCAGCAGCCCGTGCAGACAAGCTCGTGGCTCGTGGGGGCTGCTCCCTGCCAGCCTCCTGCTCTTTCTCCCCACGCGCTTCTCGGCTTCCTCTCCCTCCCCGCAATCCCTCGGCACGCGAGGGCTTTGCGTGTCAGGTGAGATCCAGCCTTGGCAGTCTCACCGCGGGGTCAGGAACGGAGCGAAGCCCGTGGACGTCCATCCCTGGTGCAGAGAGGCCGGGGCCCAGCCGTGTCTGTCATTTGGCGCATGCAAAGAAGCGCTTGAAGTAGGTGTGAAACGTGTCTAGCTGTGTGACGGAGGAATCAGTAAACATTTATCGAGTGCCAGGCACCGTGCTAAGCAGTGGGGGTGCAAAAAAAGGCAAAAGACAGTGTCTGCCCTCATGGAGTTTACCATCTAATGGGAGACGCAGCAAACGAACAAGTTTACAAAGAAAGCTATACACAGGACAAATAGGACATGATAAAGAGAGGGAGGGTTAGGGAAGGCTTCCCATAGCAGGTTTTTAGGTGCGATTTGAAGGAAGCCCGCTAGGGGCGCCATAGTGCACAGAGCACATCAACGAGTTCAAATCTGGCCTCAGACACAGCTGTGTGATCCTGGGCAAGTCACTTCACCTTGTTTGCCTCAGTTTCCTCATCTGTAAAATGAGCTGGAGAAGGAAATGGCAAGCCACAGTGAAGAATTCAGAATGACTCCCAGGTTGCAAGCCTGGAGGACTGGGAGGATGGTTTTACCCTCTATGGTGGTAACAGGGAAAGTTGGGGAAAAGAATGAGTTTTGATTTGGACATATTGAATTTAAAATGTCTACTGAACATCCAGTTTGAGAGATCTAAAAGGCAGTTGGAGACGTTTGGGGCAGGAGAGGTAGATTTGAGAATCATCAGCATACAGATGGTCATTAAATCCATGGGAGCTGGTGAGGTCACTAAGTGAAGGAGCAGGATCAGGGCCAAGGACAGGACCTGAGGGACTCCCATGGTGAGAGGGCGTGGTCTGGACAATCCAGCAAAGGAGACAGAAGGAGCGGTCAGGGAGGAGGAGAACCCCGAGAGGGTGGAGTGTCCCAAAAATCTAGAGAGGAGAGAGTGACAGCAACGTCAAAAGCTTCAGAGAAGTGGAGAGTGAGGATGGAGAAAAGGCCAATGGATTTGGCCAGGCAGAAGCCAAATAGGGGAGGGATTGTTGAGACAGGTCTACACAACACTGCTGTTTGTAGGTGACACTGTGCTGGTTGCCCCAAGTCATCCACACTGAAGAAACCACGTGCAGAAGGAATACACATGGACCAACTGCTGCCATGTCCCTAAGATGGACAGTCCATCTGTCCATCTACATGAGCAGGCACGGTGGCTGGACAGGAGCCGGACCCATGTGCCAGCTACTGTGCCAAGTGCTGGAGATGCAAATATGAAAGACAGCCCCTGCCTTCAAAGAGCTTACCATCTAAAGTGGGTGGGACAACCCGCAGGTCAGCAGGACCTGCTCTGTCTCCAATGTGCGCCCCTCCTTAGACAAGCCTGTGGCCCCACTCTCGCGGGCAAACGGCCGGCTGGCTCAGCCTTCTACAGGCAGAGCTCCGGCGCTGCAGACATCTGCCAGCCTCTCCCTTCCCACGCGCAGGGAGCAGGAATTGTGGGCACCCTCCCCCCAGCTGTTCTCTGGGCTGAACATTCTGTGGCTGCCCATCACTCAAAGCGTTTTCCTGGACAGAGCTGGGCAAAGCACCCTCCCAGCCTCTTCCTTGGCATCTCCAGGGCCTGGGGACCTGCTGGAGCCAGGCTTTTGGGAGCTATCGGATAGTGTGGTGTGGGAGCGTGTACGCCTCAGAAAGCGCGTCAATCAGGCCTGCCGATGTGTCTTCAAGCGCGTGTGCATACAGGGGCCTGGTTGTTAAATACTCGGCAGCCCGCGGCTCTGTAAACTTGGCTTAAGCCCAGTGGGATTGTCGAGTTGAAGGCCCAGGGAAGGCCAATAATGAGTATAACAGCTGGCTTTTCTATAGCGCTTTGTGGTTTGCAAAGTGGCTTACCTCCAGCTCCTCACTGGAGCCTCGCCACACCCTGACCACCCTCCATGACGGGTAGTGAACAGCCGTGCATGAACAGATGTCCTGGGTGTCTATCTTGGGGCATGGAATGCGGGTGGAAGAGGCAAGGGGACAGTGTCGCCTGGTGAAACCCATGCCTCCTTTTGGGGCTTCCCTGCCAAGAGCTCCAACAGGAATGCGGAGGACCCCCCGCACCACCTCCCCCTTCCCCGATGAAGTGTGACTTGCTGGGCTCATCACCTGGTTTGAGGATCCAGTTCAGTAAACACTGTCGGGCCCCCTCCGAGGCGCTGCAGCCTCAAAGATGCTGATTAATCCGGGTCCGTCGGGGGAGGCCCGTGTAATTGGGGGTGCTTCAGGCAAGTAGGAGTCCAGGTCGCGCACGAGCCAAAGGAGGAATCTGAACCTGACCAAGAAGGCCCGTGAAGGGAGAGCCCGTCTCACCGGAGCCGGCCGGGGTCTGTGGCAGCCCCCTTGACGCTCCCCTCCTCACCTGGCCCTCTGCAGAGCCCTAGCTGTCCCCTCTTCTCCACTCCCACTGAAGCCGAGGACAGCCTTCGCTCCTGCCCCTCCACAAGCACCCCCGAGGCCCTTCACCACCCGTTGCCTGCGGTCCTCGCTGTCCTCACCAGCTCGCTGCCCTCTGCCTTGGCTCGTGCGGTGCCCCGAGCCTGGACGTGAGTGCCTTCGCTTCTTTCTGGTTGGCGGCCAGCTCATCCGGGATGCTCTTGCTGTCCTCGCCCCCCAGACAAGGCAGCGGCAGCCTGGTGCTGCTCCTTGCGCTGTCCTGGGGCCTCAGCTTTGCACTCCCCCCGCCCCCACCTCAGAGGAAGCTCTCTGGTCTGAACTACCTCCCTGGGTACCCCCGGTGCTAAGCCCAGGGCCCCGAGGAGGCTGCCCAGGGAAGGCCTTTATCAGCGCTCTGGGATGGATGGATGGATGGACGGATGGATGGATGGAGGGATGGATGGATGGATGGACGGACGGATGAGAGAAACGCGGGGGACGGAGGAACGGATGGGCTGTTTGCGAGCCGGTGCTCAGCTCGTGTTCCGCTTGGGAATCTAGTTGCCGCGTCATCCGGGGATGGTCACCAGCCTCTCTTCTGCGGTCCAAAGAAAAGCGTCTCCTGTCCTTGCCGGTGACCTTTCCACCTGCTGCCCACAGGAAGAAGCTGCTGGGGGCAAGGGCGGGAGATGAGGCAGTAAAAGGGCCCCCCTCCCGTGCAGCACCTGCTGCCAGCCCATTCACCGGATGTGTTCTGTGGGTCAAAAGCGGCCACCCTGGCACTCGCTCGCTGCCGCCCATTCGGGGCCTTTCACAGGAGGCCGTGGGGAGCAGAGAGCCTCAGCCGCCTGGCCAGCCCAGCTTTGGGTCCTGCTGCTAACGATCCCTGGGGTGGGTGTCCCAGACCCCTCATGGCAGCACCGGGAGACAGGGCTGCTCCTGGCCTTTAAAGGGGTTTCCATTTACACACAACCGTAGATGCCACTTGGCATTCGGGTAGTACCGCCGGAGGCCCGGCAGGGGCGGAGGCTGAAAACGGCCTGAAGGATTTGTCATCACTGTTCGATCTCGCGTAATAAATCAATACTAATAACAGACCCGAAGGTTTGCAAAGTGTTTGACATTTGATCGTCACAACCACCTTGAGAGACAGCTGCTATTAATATCCTCGTTTTACAGATGAAGAAACTGAGGCAAACAGAAGTGAAGTGGCTGGCCCAGGATCACACAGCCAGTGCCCGAGGCTGGATTTGAACTCCGGTCTGTGCGATCCCAAGCCCACTGACCTGCCTTGGCTCCCAGGACCGAAATCCGCATCGGCACAAGAAGGACCCAACACTGGCACCGGCACTAGCAATATAAACGGGGCTTCTACCTGTCCCCTTTTATTGTCATGGCACAGAAACATTCACGCGGGAGCCAGGCTGGCCACGGCGGCGCCAGCGCGCTCCGGCCCGCGCCGACTCAGGCATTGAGCAACTCGTGTTCTTTGTCCGTCCTCCCGACCGCGTCTGGGTTGGACAGCGGGTCCAGGTCGGCAAAAAGGCTGAACCAGGCGCTCAGGTCTCGAGCGCTCTTCTCGGATTCTGGGAGAGGACAGCACCCGTCAGCCTCCGGCACGAAGGCCGGCGGGTCCCTGGGAGACTCCGGCAGCCCTTCCCCTCCCTCCCTGCCCCAGGGCCACCGAACCACCCTCCCTCGCCCCAGCCAGGCCTTCCCTTTCTCTCGCCTCTCCTCGCCCAGCCCCGCTGCCCCCACCCCAGCTGGGAGGGCCTTGAACCCTCAAGCCCTGACCCCCTCAGGGCACACCCCACAGCCTTTCCACTGAGGTCACTGAGGAGGCAAGCTAGTCTGATGCCTTGAGGTTTCTGGTCAGGGACCATAGGGGTCATCGACTCCAACCCTCCCCCCATTTTACAAAGGAGAAACCTAAGGCCCCTGGCCAAGGTGGGGGGGGGGGCCCACCGGGAGTAACTGTCAGGACCGCCGTTGTGAAAACTGGGGCCATTAGGTAGCTTTTCCAGGGTGGTCTGGTTTTAGGAGGGAGGTGAGGGGATGGGACAAGAGAAGGGAAGATGCCCAGAAGATCCCAGCAGGGCAGGAGCTCACAGAACCTTACACCCCCTCCTGAGAGGGCCGGAGACTTGGAATCACTCCCAATGGGCAGGAAGGTCGTAATGCGCATCCTGGGGGCCATTCCCCACCCCCATACTCCCAACAAGCCCCTCCCACCCATCACGGAGTAGTGACCAGCCGAGAGCATTCCACAGCAACCAAGAGGAGCTCACCTTTCACAGGGGGCGTGGTGCTGCTCTGGCTAGTGGGTTGGGGGGCCACTGCTGGCTTCCAGGTGGTTGGAGAACTGCCCGGGCTCTCTCTCCAGCCTGAAATCCAACCAAGGCACTGCACTGGAGCAGGGCCACCACCTTGGACGCGAGCTCCTAAGGCTCACCGCCCCCCCCCCCCCAGCCCTCATATGCAAAGGGGAGAAGAGGACTAGGCACTCAGCATTTTCTAACCTCAAGCCCCCTGGTCTTCTCCAGCTCACCGCCCCCCCCCCCCCCCGGGAAAAGCCCTCTTCAGTCTGAAGCCCTCTCTTCTGACTGCTAAGCTCCTGTCATTTCAGGAGGGAACTTTCCCCGGCTTCCTTCCAGCCTGTCTGCTGAAGGAAGCCTTTCCCTCTGATATTACCTTGTTCACCCTCTTCCTGTCTGGTTTGTGCCCAGGTATCTGCAAGGTCTCCCCTATTCGATGTGAGCTCCTCGAGGGCAGGGACAGTGTTCCTGCCTTTCTCTGCACGCCCAGTGCTTAGCACGGAGCCTGGCACACAGTTGGTGCCAAACACATGCTCTTCTTGCTCTCTGGCTGTCTCTGCTTCTCCATCCCCTCTCCTGCCCTCCTCAATGCATTGCCATCCCCCGTGAGAGCGGGCACTCCGAGACAGGGTCTAGCTTGCATCACGATTTTACGGTGCCAACCCCCTGCACATGGCCCAGGACAGTCATGGCTCAAGAGATGTTTGTTGATTAACTGATAGGGGAGAAAAACTTGAGGAGTAAATCTAACAAACTATTCTAAACCAAAACATGATTCTAATTGAGGCCATGGCCGTGGGAAGAAAGGAAAGAAAAGCAGAGAGAGACCCTGGGCTTGCATGTCAGTCCTCCAAAACGCTGCTGGACACTGACCTTGAAGGGATGACTGTAAGTCATGCATGTTTTTGTCTAGCAGCTGGGAAGGGAGGAAGCTTGATGACGGAGGGGGGCCCGGTTCTGGCTCTCCTGGCGCACACGTGGCCGTGGGCTCTGGGGTCTGCTTGTTCCCAAAGACCGCCGTCCACTCTTTGCTGAAGTCTCCCTCATCCAAGGATGATGCATTGAGAATCTCATTAAGCAGCTGCATGTCGTCCTTGTCGGTCACCTCAGACTCCGAGGCCCCTGGAAAGGAACCGACAGACACTGGTCACGGTTACCTGGGAGGCCTAGGAGGGAGGGGATGGGGGTGCTGCCCCCCACCCAGCAGGTCTTCAGGGAAGAGGAGAGAGCAGAACATGCATCTTCAAAGAGCTCAGATGTGCCCAGGCGTGTCATCCCAACACGATTTTGAGAGACTCTAGGGTTAAAGTCAATCCCACAGTCAACTCCATCTTCCAGGAATAAATTGGGATGAGACTGAAGTCTTTCCACTAAAAAGCCCAAAGGGCATACGAAGAGAACCAACCACCTGGCATCGGTCTGCTTCCAGTCAGAGTGAGCCCAGAGGTGATGGCACCTTCACCAAGACCCTTTTCTGCATTTCTGGAGCTACCTGGTGGCCCCAGAGCTCAGGGATGGGCAGAGAATGGGGGCACCGGTGGGACAGCTTCATCCAGCCAAGGATGCAAACCAGGGCGGGGCCCATAGTCACGTGGCCATAGATCCTCCACCCCTGCCCTCCTCCTTGAGGGTCGGGATGGCTTCCTTATTGTCACAATAGAGGAGGCACTTCGTTAGCCCCTCACAGTGTGGCTGGTGTCCACCTTTCCTGACATGATGGCACAGGCCTCTCTTTCACATGGGCCAGAAGAGACTAATTATTGTTCCTTCCCCCTCCAGCCTCCCAACCTTTGCATGGGCTGTATCCCATGCCTGGAAAGCACTCCCTCCCCACCTTCCTCCTTCTGCCTCCCAGAATCCCTGTCTCTCCTCAAGGCTTAGGCCTGAGACTGTCTCCCATGGGACGCCTTCCCTGACACTCCTCAACACCCATGGGCAAGAATGACTTCATCTCTGTCTCTGCAGCCCCAGGCCTTGAACAAAGCACAGCCTTGCTGCGTTCCTTGGGACCAGCACTTCTCAGGAGACCCCATTACACTCTTCAGGATTATCAAGGACTCCGCCACCCCAAAACCCCTTTTGTTTATGTGGGTTATGTGGGTCACATCTATCAATATCAATATCAATAAAATGAAAACATTTTAGTACTTTATTATGAAAGCATCTCAGGGCCCTCCAGGAGTTTCCAGATCACCCTTTGAGAACCCTTATCTGTGGTACTTCTTTGTTACTTTCAGTTTCTCCCCCACTCAAGCCTGGAGCCACTGGTGGGTGGTCACCAGTGGGTGAGGCTGGCCTGGGCACGGCTGGGCAGGAGCAAAGCAGCTTGCTGGGCCTCCTATGCCTAGCACACACAGCATCACCCCCTCAGGGTGACAGGTCAAAAACAGCCTTGGGGACAAAGCCACTGCCCAACCCCAGCCTGAGGGCCCCGGGAAACTGAGAGCGCCTGTGGCTGCACAAACGGGAAGCGCAGGAAACAGAGCAGAGCTCACCCCAGGGCCGCGGCTGAGCTGGGCTTCCTTCAGAGACCCTTACCAGGAGGCCTGCCAGCATGCTCTCACCTCCTCAGGGAGGAAGAGGAAATGGAACCATGGAGAAAGGCTGGAGAAAGGTCACAGCGGCCAGCCCACCTGGCCTTCTGGCTGGAAGCTCACTGCTTGGCCCCCTTCTCTTCCCCACTCCCCAGGAGGACCCCCACACCAGGATCGGCAGGAAGCCTGATCTTCTCGCCCCCTCTCCTCCTTTCTGCGTCACAGGTTTTGAGCCTCACGTCTGGGAATGTCCAAGGTAGCCCATTCCACACTGGGACAGCTGTAATGATTAAGAAGCCTCTCTGCTGCTTCTACCCATGGCTCTGTATTTTACCCACCAGGACCAGACAGAAAAAGGGAAATCCCTTGTCCACATGACACCTTTTCAATCATGTCCTCCCTGGACCTTCTCTTCTCTGGGCTAACCATCCCTGTTCTTCCAACCAGTCTTCACAGGACATGGTCTCAAGGCCCTTCGACCAGGTTGCTGTCCTCTGCATACTCTCTAGCTTATTACACTGTGGTGTCCAGAGCTGAACACAGTTCCCTAGGTGTGGTCTGACTGGGGCAGAAGTCCAGCAGAACCCTCATCTCTTCTACTGGAAGCTCTGCCTCTCTTGAGGTAACCAAGATGGCATCACACACAGTGACAGGGAGCTCCCTGATGGCTGATGGTTTTCAGGGAGGCTAACAAAGCACATGCCTAGAAGGGTGGGGGCAAACCTGTGTAAATTGCCTGACGTTGCTCAGTGAAAATCATTGCAGCCTTTAGAAAGTGTAAACCACTTGAAAGTCACCTTTTAAAAAGCAGTTCTAGGCACACCCTTGAAATAAAATGTGCCCCTGCAGATGGACAGAGGCAGGCCCTTTTCCCCACCATTTGCTTAGAGCCTGAGCTTGTCACCCCCCAGTAGGACCAGCACATCCAGGGTAAGAGGCCAAGAGATAGCCTTTCTGTCCTGGCTGGGTCCCCCAGCACCCACCAACACACAGGGAAAGCCAGTGAGCCAGCCTCCTTTCCCAGCCACTGGCAGAGTTGAGGGGTCTGCCCAGCATGGCACAGAACAATACTCTAATCCTGCCTCCTACGGACCCTGGAAAGGGCTTGTCTAGGAGCCACCTGCTCCCCCCCCCAGTACATTTTTGATTCTAAATAAACTTTAATGACCTCTTGAGGACACAGCCAGGCCAGGGAAAACAGGCTTCCTGGACAGAGGACAGAAAAACCTAGACAAGCATGGCTCCTTTTTCTCATCATCTGTATTTTAACGAGGAAGATTACATCTCTGCTTTTCTGCCTGGTTCCTTCCCTCTACTTTATGACTAATCATATACCTAAGCAACTCGCACTGAGATGAAAAACCTCAAATGCCAACTTGATCATAACCAACATACAAAAGGAAAAGCAATGGTCAGAGAGCAAAAGGGGCTCCATCCAGGGTTACAATGTGGTTGCAGAGAATTCAAGATCTCTCTCTCTCTGTGTGTCTGTTTGTCTCTGTCTCTCTCTCTCCTCTCTGTCTCTGTCCTCTCTCTATCTCCCCTCTCCTCTGTCTCTGTCTCTGTCTCTCTCTGTCTCTTTGTCTCCCTGTCTCTCTCCTCTTCTTTTTTCTTCTCTGGCTGTCTCTCTCTGTGTCTCTCTGTCTGTCTCTCTCCCTCTCCCTTTCTGTCTCTTTCTGGGATTGCTATCACCCCAAGGGATAAAGAAGATACAAATTAAAGCAAGATCACAGGAGGAAAGAACCCCCCCCTTCGGTGGCCCCCGCAGTGAAATCCCCCTGCTCTCTACCCTCCAGACATGGGGCTTGCTGCTCCTCTAGACACTGGCTCTGAAGGCTAGGTGGAGGCCACAGTGCCTGGAATCCTGCCCTGCCTGCCTCCTAACTTAAGACCTGGCCTCTCCTGGGGTGTCTGGGGTGTCACTGCTGCACTAAAGCTGGGTCTGGCCAAGGGCTGAGATGGGCAATAGCAGGAGTATGTCACCACACTGCTGGCGTACCACTGTGTGGACAAAGCCTGCTGGCAGTATTCTCTAGAATTCCAAAGGAAAAAATGGGGGGTGGGTGGAGATTTATATGGAGATTTCTATAATTGCTTATAGACTAGGCCAGTAGCTCCTTATTTGATATATATTGGTTGAGGGAACCTTGTGATATCCAGCGGATAGCACTATAATGCCAGCTGGGGAGACGAGCTCAGTGATCTGCCCAATAGAAACAGAAGTAGTGAAAATCCATGTGGGAGGAGCATGGGAATGGACCAGAACACCAGGAAAGCAGGTGAAACTAGGGCTCTACGTCCTTGGCAATGCCTGGTCCATGGGACTGAGAGGAAGGAGGAGGCTAAAGGGACCTCATCCCCTGGCTTCCAAGGTGAGGTGCGTGGAGTGGGGCCAGCAGGTGTGGATGTGTGGATCGACAGAGACCCAGGTGATTCTGTGGTCAGTCTCCAACACTGGGCCTTCTTCTTTTCCCATTAGTTTTTTTTAACTAGGATTGACCTTAAGGGCCAGCACTAAGTCTGTGTTATTGGGGGTGTCCCTATGCTTCAAGAGAGGAAGAAAAAGAATATAACTTAGTGAAGAGAACCCTGAATGGGACAGGAGAAGAGGCCAGGAGGGGGAAGGTGACACCAAAGAGGCAGCTCCGAATGGGGTTCAGGAGACATGAGAATTAGGTACCATCAGGAGCTTCTGGGGACACCCAGGAACAGTAATTATTAATAATCACAACAAAATAACATTTGCATAGCGCTTGAAGGTTTGCAAAACATTTTACATCATTTGATCCTTACAACAAGATTGTTATTATCCCCCTTTTACAGATGAGGAAACTGAGGCTTGGAGTTTAAGTGACTTGCCCGTGGTGACATGGCTAATGTCTAAGGTAGGAGCCCATCCCCCAAGGCCTGCGCTCTGTCTCCTCCTTCACCCAGATGCCTCAGCTCTGGCCACAGAAAGATGAGACAGGTCCTCCGGGGAGCACAGAGGCAGCTGCGGTACCGGCATGAATGCCTGGGAGCACGCTCCCTTCCAGGAAGTGTCTCCAAAGCCATTAAGCAGCTGGGGTGATGCTGAGTCCTGACAGCTTGTCTCCAGAAAGTGTTCTGTCCTGGGTGGGGCATGAAGAGCCTCCTGCCAGGAGAAGGTGGGGAAGGGAAGAGAATAAGCACCTATACAGCACCTACTGCATGCACTGCACGAAGTAATCCCCACGACAGCCACGAGAGGTGGGTGCTATTACTATCCCCATTTGACAGTTGAGGAAACAGAGGTAGACAGAGGTCACAGAAGTGACTTGGCCAGGGTCACACAGCTAGTAAGTGTCTGAGGTCACATTTGAACTCAGGCCTTCCTGACTGCAGGCGAGTGCTCTGTGCCCTGCAGCCCCCACTGCCCTAGGCAGGCATATGAGAAGTGTAGCTAGTTAAGGAGATGGTACTGGAAAACGGGGCTTTGATTTCTTGATGGGGTTAAGATAATACAATCTCAGCCAACGTCAGGGTTCCAAGAGGGGGGAGGCATGTAGAGACAGGGGTCCCTGTGGAGAGCCCCTGGGGTTCTAGGGGCCCGGCCCACTCCATGGGAGTCAGCAGTGACCTCAGGCAGAGGAGCTGAGAACCCTGACCTCTCACCTCTGACCTTCTCTGGGCTCCAGCCTGATTCTCCCCACGAAGGCACTTGCTCAGCCACGTCACAGCCGCCCCCTCACCCTGGCTCACCCCGTTGGCCATGCAACCCCCTCACCCTGGAAGTCCATGCCTCTCTGGGGCCCCCTGCTCTGACTGACCTGGTCCATTTTCAGGAGCATGCCTGGGCCAGCCTTGTCCTCACTCCTCTCCCGAGCTCATGGGCTCTCTACCTGCTTCACTGCGCCCACATAGGGGCTTCTCTCTCGTTCCCCCCAGGTGTTGTCTCTCTGTGTTAAGACCTGAGCTCCTGGATCCTCTGCTCTCCTTTGTGCCCCCAGCACTTAGCTCTGGGCCTGGCTCATGGACAGTCTTGCGCCCCCGCAGTTCAGGGATGGGCAAGGCCTTTAGTACAGGCCCCGACAATCATTGAAGAAGCTGGTGAGGATTGGCCTCAAGGAGGATTGGCCTGTAGAGGTGTGCTGTTTGACCCCAAAGGGGCCGGAGGCCTGAGAAAGGAGAAAATTCCCCCTCCCTGGAGGGCTTTGGAAAAGCCTCTGTGGCCAGGGGCTAGGGCTGTGGTGCAGGATTTTAGGAGGGGGTTCATTTTGGCTCTGAGATTCTGTAAGGCTGCATTTCACTGAGATCTCGGCTAATTAGGAGCCAAGCGAACCTGGGCACCTGCCGGGGACAGAGACAGAGGGTCAATGCCTGAGGGCCTGACCAGAGGGTGGGAGCTGCAATAATGAGGTAGACCATATGGGGTGGCTCTAAGTAAAGATCTCAGTGGCTTTGGAGAAAGCTGAGGTCATCCCTGGCACTCGTCAGGGCTCAGATCTCTGACTTCCTCCTTCTGCACGGGGCTGGTGGGAACAAACCACACCTTTGGCACGGATGACCCTGGCTCTTGGTAGAGACCTGGCCCGACACCATGAGAAGAGAAGGAAAGGAGCACACGCGTGCTTACAGCTTGCCCACACCCTCCAAATTCTACTCCCTCCCCCACAGCCCAGCATGGCATCTTCAAGATGCCAGGTGGGTGGCACCGCTCTGGTGAACTCGGTCCCGAGGTGCCTAACTAAAGAGAGAGAGCCAGTTTGGTATCGCATGCTAAAGAATAGCATTGCTTTATGGTTTAGGCAAGATCTTCAGGGACTACTGCAAACCACCATGAGGGATGGATGGAGGCAGGAAAACCCTTCAGACCCCCTCTGGCCAAGGTGGGCTGGGCGATTCTCTTTGGCCCGGACCCGCCTCATCTCCACACACAGTCAGGGACTGAAGCAGGAGCAGCCTTGGAGATGTTTCAGGATGGATGCCTTGGTCATCTCCTCCCTGGGACCCAGCAGCCTCCTCTTTGGGCTGAGGAGTCTCTGAAATGGGCTGGTCTGAACCACCTGCACTTTTGCTCCAGACACGACCCTTCTAGGGCAGGCTGGCAGTAGTAACAGGGCCATAGCATTTCAGGGCTGGGAGGGCATCAGAGGCCCTTCCATCGGGCCTGGCTATGCTTTGACCTTCAACAAGATAGGTCTCAGAGACAATGAGAAAGTCACTCACTTTAAAATGTGAAGGCGACAATATGATGCTAATTTTCTATAGACTTGAGTTTATTGACCTCAGAAGTTTTAAAACCCCAGTGAAGTTAACTGTTCTTACCTGTCTCTGATGGCATCAGGTCCAACAGCTCATCAATGGTTCCTTCAGAGGGAGAAAACGTGGAAAAATCAAGTCAACTTAGCTGCCCAAGCATTCCCAAGTCAATGTGGTAAACTGAGGCCAGCCCTTCCCTCTCAATTACCTGAGCACTGGATGTGGCTCGACTCCCCTTCTAGGGTGGAGAAGGCATTCTTTCCATCCTCAGCTGGAATTAGAACACACCAAGCTGGTTATTACCACTGTGACACCAGGGGCTCGGTCCCATCCCACAGCAGCACAGTCCCATCTCACAATGGCCATGGGCCAGGGAGGTCCCATCCCACAACAGTCATGGGCCAGGGGCTCAGTCCCATCCCACAATAGCCAGGGGCCAGAGCCCAGCTTCCCGGAAGGCAGCAGCCACTAGTTCGGGTAGTGGCCAGAGCTCGCTCCAATGAGGCCAGGTGGGCTCTAGGGCCATGTTCACGAGACAGCAATTTGAATGAATGGCCCCTCCCATCCCAACGGCAGTCTGTGGACACTCAATACACATCATTCACACGTGCTCATGAGCTCCCTTGGCTGAGAGGGCGCCACCCTAAACAGAAATGCTGCCCCAACCTCTGACAATGTAGTTTGTTTTTATGGTTGCTGGCTAGACTGGGGTGGAGGAAGTCATTGCCCCCTAAGAAAAAGCCCAAGGAGCCAGTGGATCATCCTATTGAGGTGCAGAGTCTGCCTCCCCAGCCTTAGGAAGGGAACCCACTGGGAATAAGCCCAAAGCACAGGCGTTTGGAGAAAACTTTCATTTTGAAGGGTGGGAAAAAGCCAAGAAAAGATGGGCCCATCAGACACGGGAGAAAACTGCAAAAGGCTTTCCCTTTCTCCCCTGTCAATCCAGACAAAGGTGATGAGGCCACACCCACGGTCCAGGCTCTGTACTAGGCACCAGGGACACATAAACGAATGCAGCAGCCTCTGGACCGTGAGGGGCTCCCCCCAAGCTTGACTTTCAACAGCCTGACGGTCACCCTAGGCACGGTTCAAGTTAACGTGGCAGTGGTACTTTCTGGGCAAGGAAACTGAGGCGCAGAGCTCTCGACAGGTCTGAGCTCCAAAGGCAACACTGTGCCCTGGACACTCATCTCCCTGGGAGCCCAAGGAGCCTGGGGGAGCTGGCCTTCTCCCCATGCCTCCTCTGGAGGGGGAGGGGAGGGTAACAGAGAATGAATGTTATGTGTGCATCTGCGTGTCTGAGTGTGTGTGTGTGTGTGCATGCATATGTGTCTGAAAATGAGTGCACGAGCATGCTGCATTGTGTCTGAACATTGTGTGTACATGTGTGCGTGCCTGCACATGCATACACTGTGAGATCAAATGTATGTGTATGATAATGTGCGTGCAAACGTGTGTGCATGCATACAGGTCTGAAAATATGTGTACAAGCATGTGTGTATGTCTGTGCTTCTGAGTATGCATGTGTGCATGAGCATGTGTGCATGAACGTGGTGCATTGTGTCTGGACGCTGTGTGCACGTGTGCATGCCTGCACATGTATGCATTGTGAGAGCAAATGTCTGTGTATGAGAATGTGTGCAAACATGTGTGTACATGCATGCATATCTGAATATGTGTGTGCATGTGTGTCTAAGCATATGCACACACCTGTGCTATCTGAGCATGTGTAAGCATGCATGCATGCAGGTGTGTTTGAGCATTGTGTGCACGAGTATGAACATATGTGTATTCATTTGTCTGAGCACTGTGCATCTATGTCTGAGTATGTGCACGTGTGTCTGAACACTGTGCCGTGCTTTGCATGCATTGTTTGAGCGTGTGTGCATACATGCACATACCTGCAATGCAAACCCACACGAGCACTGTGTGCATGCAACATGCATGTCTGCACACGTAGGCGTGTTTGTGTGTGTGAGCGCCTCCTTGCAAGCACCCACTCCTCAGTTCCCAGAGACACTCAGGACAGGTTCGGCCAGTTCTGCCTCTGGGGGCGATCTCCCTGAGAGAACACGCAGGAAGCAGAGGCCAGAGGAGAATCCAACAAGGGAAGCGGGTGGCTGCAGGAGCCCAGGCCCTCCAGGCCGGCCAAGCCACGTCTTCTGGCCGCCCTCTCACATGGGGCGACCACCGACGGTGACGGTGGGCAGAGGAGCCGCTCTCCCAGAAGCATCACCGCGGAGGTCTCACGGACACTCGTGGTCTCCCCGAGGTCCAGGCCTGCAGCTCCTCACCTCCCTGTCCCGTGGCCTCTGGTGAGGTGGGGCGACCCGCCCAGTCCCAGGACCCACCATCCAGAGCTGGGAGGAAGCTCCGAGACCCCTGCGCCCAGGCTCCTCATTTCCCAGCCTCGGTGACCGGGCTCAGAGAGCTGGAGGCTGCCGCAGGTCACGCGGGCATCGGAGCCGGCTCGACTCCAGCCCTCCGCAGGGTCAGGCTGCCAGCCAGGAGAAGAGGGGCAACGCGCTGCTTCCGGGAGGATCCCCAGGCCACTTGCGGGACGAATAAGGCAGCCCCCAGAGCGCCGCTGAGCTCCGGCCTCCAGGGCAGGCAGATGGCAGGGATGACACCTACCCGGCGCCCCCCCAGGACCCCTAGGAGCTCCCCCCTTCCCGACCATTCTCTGACTTCTGAAAGATTCAAGCCTAAGAGCCCAGAAATACGAGGCGGGAAGAGAGCCGCCGAGCGCCCTCGTGTTCACGTGGAAGGTCAAAGAAACGCAAAACTTACCTAAGTAGGTGGGCGTGTTGGCAGGGTTTTCCACGTCTAATGTTATCAGCCTTCAATAGAACAGAAGAGAAGCTCGCTCAGTCTGCTGTGCAGAGGGGGAGCATTTCTTAAGCGCTCCCGACTAACCTCAATCCCAGGCTGACCGTTTGCGGGAAAGTCAGAGAAATCGCTTCTCGGCCAGCTCCCCGACCACCTCCGCGCTTCCTCTGTGCCCGCGTTGCACCCACCCCCACAGAACCCCCACAGAATGGAAGCCCCCTGAGGCCAGGGATCTCCTCCCGGCACAAGGTGGGGGGAGGTTGGTCCCCACTCACGAGTCTGGCTGCAGGGGCTCCCTCTCTGGGCTTTCCTTCTGGGCTTGTTCCTTCTTTTCGGCCTCTTCTATCAACTTGTTTACAGGGTCCTGTAGGCTCTGCATCATGATCCAGACATAGGAAAAAGGGGAAACAAAGCGCAGTCCAATCTGACACCCTGGCCCGGTCAGCTCCTCCACTGGGCAAAGTGAACGGAAGCTTTCCCAGACAGTGACGAGGATCACGGGCGTCAGATGCGAGGCTGGTAGGGAAGGGCTTGACAAGTTGGGAGGGAACTTGGCAGACCCCCAGCTCTGCCCTCTGGAGCCCCACTGCCCTGAGGTCACGAGCCCTTCCGGGATGAGGAGTTCTGTGGCCCTCTCCACCCCTGCCCCAACAAGAGGCGCCGTGCAGCAGCAAAGGCCCTCGCCTGGAGACCAGAGACACCCGGGGCCCGAGCCCCACTTTGCTTAAGTGTCCAAAGAGAATAATCAAGCCTGGGGCCCCATCATCTCTGGGCTGGGGGGAAGTTCCCTAAAATAACGTCATAGCAAGAGCTTTTGAAAACCACACCCCCAGGTGATGGCCAGCCTCGGTTTTCCAAAGGCAGCTAAGATAAACAGCCCAAGGACTGGAAGAGGAGGTTGCTTTCCTAAGAGAAGGCTCGATTTTATGGCTAATTGTTTTAGTTTTTTCTGATGACTCAAAGGACCTAAATGACGGCAAAACCCGAACTCCAACCAAAAAAGAATCGACAATCACTTCTTCAGTCGAAAAGTTCTTAATAAACATCAACTCTGTCCTAGGCACCCTGCCAGGGGGCAGAAACACAGACAGAAAGAAAAGTCCCTGCCCTCGAGGAACTTAGAGTCTATCTTGGGAAACATAGGAGTGTTAGTGGAGAGAAGAGAACAGAGGAGTGAGATGGTGAAAGGGCAGCATGGACAAGACACACGGGGTTAGGGGGTGTGATGAGCTGAGGATGACAGTGGGGTGCAAACCCAGGAGGCTGGAAATGTGGCGGTAAGGGAAGCAAGGAGGAAGAGAATTTGAGGGAAAGAGAACGAGCTCCGTTTTCGAAAGGATGAGCTTGGAACAAATAGGGGACGTCCAGTGGGAAAATTCTAATTGGCCTTTGACGATGTGGGATTAGAGCCCAGGAGAGGCCAGGGCTAGATTCAGATTTGGAAATCACATGCATGAAGATAACTGATCCCATGGGAGCTGATGAGATCATGAGTGTGTAAAAGAGAGGGAAAGAAGCTCTAAGAGACTTGGGGGACACCAAGGAAAAGGAAGAGGGACACGGGACAGCAAAGTGGATTGAGAAGGGACAGACAGGTGGGTAGGAGAACCAAGGATGGTAAGTTGGAGAAGAGTCAGAGAGAGACAGACAGACAGACAGACAGACCGACACAGACAGAGAGAAACAGAGAGAGAGAAAGACTAGAGAGAGAAAGACAGAGAGGAGGGAGTGAGGGAGGGAGAGAGAGTCAGAGAGACACACAGAGACACAGAGACAGAGAGAAACAGAGAGAGAGAAAGATTGGAGAGAGGACAGAGAGAGGAGGGAGGGAAGAGGAGAGAGAGAGAGACAGAGATAGAGACACAGACAGACACAGACACAGACAGAGAAACAGAGAGAGAGAAAGACTGGAGAGACAGAGAGATACAGGGAGTCACAAGGAAATGTGGGGTGTGGAGCAGAAGGGGAAATTGAAGCACCCGACCTTCTTCTGATATTGGGATGATAGAGGGTCTTTGGAGACAGAAGAATCCACTGAGTGACTTTTAAGGAAGGAGCAGACTTGGGTGTGTCTCTAGGTAGGAGGGATGGAGCTGGGAGATATGGAGAGGTGGCCTCCTCCCCAGAGCTGGCCCTCAGGAAACAAGTGAGAGTGGTCTGTGGTTGTAATAGCAATTACTTCTCCGGGAATCATTCCCAAAGTCTGCGCAATTGTAGAAGCAAGCTTTCTAAATGCCCAAGTTTAACATTCTGCAGGCATACTAGGGCTCTGGGAAATGGACTCCACTTTCTAGTGCTTTTTAGGGGAGCCCCTGCCCCCTGGCCCCCTCCCCAGCCCCGTTCCCTGGCCCTCTTTCCTGTCTCCCTCCTCTCTACTCTGGCCTGCACACTCTGGCCAGATGGTTTCCTACAATCCTCTTCTGCTTGGTACAGCTATACTTTATTCCTTTGACCTTCTGAACCTTGAACTCTAACCCAAGCAGGGGCTTGGTCCGCACTTGCATTTCCCTTCCAATGGCCAGGCCCAATAGGAAAAGATGAAAAACTAGTATTTATTCTCAGTTAATATGTCTGTTAGGTTTGGTTAGGTTCTCCATTTGGAAATCCACATGCTGAAGTTAGTGTGGGGTAGGGAATCCAGCATTAGGCTTGGGAAAGAAAACTGCCTGGATGTGAATCCCTTAATGATTAAGAAACCCCAGACAAGACATTAAACGTGTCTGAGACTCAGGATCCTCATAAAATTAGTGGGACCTCTAAGGTCCCTCCCAGCTCACTCAATGATGTGATGATAATGCCAAGTTGGGAGCGGTGAGTGTGTCCAAAACAGATAAAATTCCAGATCAGAAGTAGTGTGCCCTGGACGCCCCAAGGATGTCATGGAGTGCCTAAGCCAGGCCATTCAGAAACACTGCTGAGCTACATGGATGGCATGGGTCAGAACTCTGGTGGGTAAAAACTCACAATGCCAGTGGGTTCTGGAATTAGATGTTAGCCCCAACCAAAAGCTGAGGGTTTGTGCATTGTGGCGCCCTTACCTTCAACATGGTGAACTCATAAGGCTGATAACCTTTGAAGCTCTCATGGATGGCTGCCATGGTGTGTGAAGTTTTCTCCCAGAAATGAAGCAAGGTAGTCTGTTAAGAAAGATGAATCCTCTGAATACTAGAGTGGTCAAAATCTAGGGCACTGACCTCTACCCCTAGCACCAATTTTCATGTTTGTTGGGGGCTCAGAATCACAGACTCATAGTTAGAGACCTCCCTAACAACCTCAATTAGAGCCCCGTCTGCCATGGTCCCTTTGCTTGAATACTCAGAGACAGAGAGCCTACCCCCACCTCTGGAAGCAGGCCAGTCTACTTTGGTAGACTGTGGTAAGGAAGTTTTCCTGGCCTCAGACCTCAGTCTGGTGCCCAATAGAACGAGGCTGACCCTTCTTCCATGTGATGGGCCTTCAGCCATAATGTGCTTTCCCTGCCTCTTCTCCTCACCAACTTATCCCCTGTCCTCTAATTTTCCTCCAATCTCCCTGGCCCTTGGCCACCTCTCCACAGCAGCTACATCCCAGCAGAATGTCACCACACTAGTGAGATACCTGATATGTTGTGAGCACGTGAGACAGCAGGTTACATCTGCTCGCTCCAAGGAGATCCACTTTTTGACACACATCATTCTTGAGTTGGTCAAAATTGAGCTTCGCATGGCGCACTTGGGCTTGGACCTGGAAGGTTAACAGGAGACATTCTTCACCTGCATCAACTCCTTCCTAAGCTTCAGCTCGAGTGCAGACTCCTCCAGAGAGGATGGAAAGGCTGGACTTCTTACATCCATCCCCACTTTGTCACACTGAAAAGGAACTGCCCTGGCACACAGACAACATCCTCTAACTGTCAGCAAGCATCATGAAGGGGTGAAAAATCCAGTCAGGACTTTGGGGTTTGCTGGCAGACTTGATTGACTCTCCCAACTCTGCCTTACCCAAGCTAATATTAAAAATTGTTCTGCTGACCCTAAGCACCCCCCGACTCATGCTGGAGTTGTAACATCTTGGAGCTGAGAAGGAGGAAAGAACTCCTTGAGTAGAAAAAACTTGCCATAATTGCCATGCAGATAATTGAGAGTGGATCATAGCAATAGAAAGAATCCCAATTCTTTCACAGGTTTCCCCAAGAGTTCATATCAGGGGTTTTCACATGGGAAGTCTTAGAAATATAACCAGACATATTGGGTAAAGTTATGGATCCCTGGGTTTGAATATTGCCACTGTGTAACACTGAACATGGCCCTTCACCTCCCATGGAGCCAGAGAACTCTGAGATTCCCAGTTCAAAAGGACTGAACTATACCAGTGGAGGTAGGTTCTCATGCCTAATGAAAGGTAAAGTCATAGACCTGGATGAGAAAAATAAGTCTTGGGCATACGTAGTTTTTGAATTGTTAAAGTGCCTTATTGAAACCAGTGATAATAATGATGTTGATGACAATGAGAAAAGATCTAACCATTGTTTGCTGTAACATATATTGAAAAGTATGACAACCAATTTAAATTCACAGATACTACTGAAAATGGGAAGAAATAGGGAGCCTGACATAAGAAAGGAGGACTCTGTCCACACTCTCCGCCAATCCCCACTTGGAGGTTAGGAACACCAGAATCCTGTGTCCCCAGAGCCACAAGCCCTTCCCAAAGCTGGAGTGGGGGAAGCTTGCTGTGCCCACACAAAATGTGACTGCCCTCAGAGGCAAGACGGGCAGAGTCCTGAAAGGAAAAAAGTGACATGGGAACATTACTGAACTTTGAGGGCTGAACACCTCATCCAGCTGCTCCCCAGCTCATTCCACACGTGAACTTCAAGTAGTTGCCTACTGAATCTTGGGCTCTCTGTCCCAGCCTGGGCAATGTCACTCTCAGCAAACCTTTCTCTGTCTTCTGGGCTGGGGGAACAGTGGAGTTCATGCTTCTGGGGTCTCAATCCATCTCTATTCACAGAATTTCAGTGGGGGAAAGGAGCCACAGGACTCCTTCTTCCAGCCCATGCCTGAGCAAGACTTATTTCCTCTTTAACGAACTGGACAAGTGGTCATGCAGCCTGGGCCATGGAGACCGCCATTGTGGAGGAGACCAACCCTTCCTGAAGCAGTCCAGGCCACTCTGGGACAACCCTCATTAGGAGAAAATTCTTCCTGAATCCAGTTTAAATTGGCCTCTTTGTGGCTTCTCCCCTTTGCTCCTGGTTCTCCTCTCTGAAGTCTAGAAGAATCAGGTGAGTCGCTCGCCTTCATGGCATCTCTTCAGTTACTCCAGGCTACAGCAGTTTGGAATTATGCCCAAAGGGCTATCAAACTGTGCATACCCTTTGATCCAGCAATACCTCTACTTGGTCTGTATCCCAAAGAGATTTTTACAAAAGGGAAAAGGACCTATCTGTACAAAAATATTTATAGCATCTCTTTTTGTGGTGGCAAAGAATTGGAAATTGAGGGGATGCCCTTCAATGGGGGAATGGCTGAACAAATTGTGGTTTATGAATGTAATGGAACACTATTTTGCTAGAAGAAAATGAAGAGCAGGAAGATTTCAGAAAAACCTGGGAAGACTTACATGAACTGATGCAAAGTGAAGTAAGCAGAACCAGGAGAACATCGTACACTGTAATAGCAATATTGTATGATGATCAACTGTGAATGACTTAGCTATTCTTAGCAATACACTGATCCAAGACAATTCCAAAGGGCTCATGATAAAAAAAATGCTATCTATATCCAAAAAACGGAGTCTGAATGTAGATTGAAGCATTCTATTTTTCATTTTTTCATGTTTTTTTTGTTTGGTCTGTGTCTTCTTTCATAACATGACTAATATGGAAATGTTTTTCACGATTGCACATATATAACCTATAACAAATTGTTTGCCATCTCAGAGAGGGGGAAGATAAAGGGGGGAAGGAGAAAACTTGTAACTCAAAATTTAAAAAAATGAATGTTAAAAATTATCTTTACATGTAATTGGGAAAAAATAAAATATTTAAATACTCCAGGCTAAATAAGACCCTTAGTTCCTTTTCCTTCATCTGATTGTCATATGACATGGATATCATGTCCTTCCCAATCTTGTCCCTTCATTCCCTAATGGGTTCAGTGTGCTTCCTAAAATGTAGAGTCCAGAAGTGAGTACAATACCTTAGTCCCCTCATCACAGGATAGGTTCAGTATCAACAAATTCAATAACCCAACTCAAACCAACATTTTTTAAATGCCTGCCATATTATTGTTATTGTAGGAAAGACATAGAGGAAGGGAAAGAGTTGGTGGGTGGGGTGAGTAGACCACACCTGAGGTCTCTTGGGAGAGGAGGAAGGGAGGTTCATGATTCCAGTACAAGGTAGTATGTTCTCACCACATGTCCTTCCATAATTCTTCATGTATGTATGTTTTGTTTTTGCTAGACAGTGGGGTTAAGTGACTTGCTGAGGGTCATATAGCTAGTAAGTGTCAAGTGTCTGAGGCTGGATTTGAACTCACATCCTCCTGACTCCAGGGTCAGTGATCTATCCACTGCATAATTTTTCATGTTTATTACAATGTCCTGACCACCTCTCACTTGGGGCAGTCCAGAGGGAAGAAGAATGGTCCAGAAACCAAGAGTAGCCCAAACTTCTAGGGGTGCCAGCATCCAGAGCAAGGACTGGTGGAAGGGAGCACCAGCAAATTTCAGTTGGAGCTATACAAGGGGAATCTTTTCACTGGCAGTTTTGTTGTTCCTTTAAAACATGAAGGAACACATCTGGGACTCCTTGTATTTGTCCCCAGCAATCATCTATATGTGTTTCCTTTGTGGTGAAGATGGTGCCCAAATTTGTGTATTCCATGCTTTGAGATGACTTTCCTAAATCCAATCCATATTGATGAATCAGGTCCATAGGGCATGACTACTATGGATCTTCAAGGTTCTAGGGGTAAAGGGATGGTCATTCTGATATTATAGCATATGAGCCCCCATTGGCATGTTTTCCACCATAATATGAATTGATTATCAATTAGTCAGCCAGACTTAGGTGGCTTTTAGAAAGGGATGTTTACTAAGGTGGTAAAATGCATACGATCACTTCTCCCCAAAGTCTTTGGCTTCCCCTTATGGTTTTGCCTCTCACTTTCTGGACTTTGATACCATGCCTGAGCTGTCTCATCACATGGAACCTTCATTGGCCTATGCTGCCTTCTAAGTCTGAAATATCTCTTTCCCATGCTATCCCCCTTTTCCTATTGGCGAGTTCATCTCTGGGAGCCTCCATTTTGAGGCAGGGCCTAGACTTGCTGTCTTTCACTATCCTTCCAACTTTACTTTTGACTTTCTGAGCTTCAACACCTTGCCCCTGCATGTGTACCTTTTTGCCCATGCCCCTCCCCCTTTCAGCTCATCTTTTCCCCCATTACAACACAAATACATTGAGGGAAGGGACTGTCTTTTTTCTCCTATCTGAATCCCCATTACTTAGCACAGTGCCTGGCACATAGTAAGTCCTTGATAAATGCTTGCTGCCTTTCCTTGCCTTGGCACACTCTCCCAACAGTCCATACAGAGTTCAAGGAAAAGTGGGCTCAGGCTGAGAGAGTTATTTTGCTAGAATCCTCAATTGTACCCCCTCTGAGGTATGGGGACATTTTTTGCTGGGCTCTTTTTCAGGGCTATGAATATGCTTCCAATTTGTCCTTGTCTCCTGACTTAGACATTGCTGTCATCTTTTCCAGGAAAGGCTAGGATGCCAGTGGGATGATGGGAAGTCCAAAACCTTTCAGACTTTTTGAAGTTCCCAAGGGGGTGGGGAGGAGACCTAGTCCAAAAGGCACTCTATCCCTCCCCTGTCCCCAGTTAGTCCCTCCAGAGTGGTTTGCTGGAATGTTCTCTCCCAGCTCCCACTCCTTCCAATCTTCCAGAAATGACTTGATATTTTAGAATTGCTTTGGCCAGTCTTTGTCCCAATGCTTTGTAAATAATTTTAGAAACAGGGAGCAACCCCAACACATGGCTCAGGAAGCATGGTGACACCCCATGTGCCAACAGTCCACAATGATTATTAAAATACTCAACGCCCTGATGCATTGCCAAATGCTGGTTGATCTTCCTGCTGAGCTGGGAGGACCTTCTCTACTGGCAGGGTCACCAAGATTGGGTGATGTGCCATTGCGCGCTGACTGCAGGCAGCTGTCTCCAGAACCACGGACAGCATCAAGAGCCACATTTCATGCCATGCCCATGGGGGAAATGGGCTTTCATTCTTTTCCCTCTCAACCTAAGTAAATTATCTGCAATGATGTGACCATCTTGAGGCCCTTTGCTTTCTTCCAATGCTCCTCAAATCTTCTCCCAAAGGAATTTCTTTTCCATGTATGTGTTTTTTTTTTTTAAACCTTCACAAGATCTCAGAAATGGAAGGAATATCAATGGTCCTACCTGAGAAGGGTCCCCTGCACAGCCTCTCTGGAAAGGTTATCCTGCTTTAGCTTGAAGACCTGCTCCCTTACCCCAAGGGTGGCCCGTGCCAGTCTGGGACAGCTCTAATGGTTAGGAAGTTCTCCCAATTAATCTTTTCACCTCTTCCCTTCCCTCTCCCTTCCCTGCTCCTTGATCTGCCCCTTGTGGCCATGAAAAACAAGGTTCATGGGACACCTGTTTGTCCTGCAGTTTATCAGGAAGAATAGTAGAGAAAAAAGAGAAAGAGA